AGGGGGGGGGGGGGGGGAAGAACTGAGAAAAGTAAAACCCACATGTCATTTTGGACCGTTTTGGACTGTATGAATCAGGTATAAATGTATTTGTTTTTATTAAGCTGCTCAACAACAGTGGAAATTTCTTCCAATTCATCAAATTACCAGTACAGTGCTCGTGAAATCACCTTCTGGAGGCACGAGCAGCCAAGGAGAAGCCTCGGTTTCCCAGAGGCGGCTCTGAAACGGATGGAGCTTTCTGCCTCTCAGTTCATCTGCGCTAGCAGCTCTTCAAGTTCTGGTCGAGACTTTAATCGGCTCTTGAAGTCAGCTTCTGTGTGCTGTGGAGGGAGGAAAAACCCAAGTAAATCAGAATCACCTCTTGAGTACTCAAAGAGAATCAGTTCAGAGTGGAAAAACAAAAGACTTAAATGTCCACCGAACGCAGGGAGTGGGAAGCGTCAGTGGAAAGTCACTGCAGGCTAGGATCTGGTGGTGTGCCCCAAGGGTCAGTGCTGGGTCTGGTCTTGCTCAACATATTCATCCATGACCTGGACAGGGGACAGAGTGTACCCTCAGGAGGTTGCTGACCATACAGAACTGGGAGGACTGGCCGACACAGCAGGAGGCTGCGCTGCCATTCAGCGAGATCTGGACAGGCCAGAGAGTTGGGCGGAGAGGAACCCAATGAAATTCAACAAGGGCAAGGGTAGGGTCCTGCACCCAGGGAGGAATAACCCCAGCACCAGGACAGGTTGGGGGTGACCTGCTGGGAAGCAGCGCTGCAGAGAAGGACCTGGGAGTCCTGGTGGACAACAAGCTCTCCCATGACCATCTAAAGGGCGAGTGCCAAGAGGAAGGGGCCAGACTCTTCTCAGTGGTGCCCAGCGACAGGACAAGGGGCAACGGGCACAAACTGGACCACAGGAAGTTCCACCTGACCGTGAGGAAAAACTTCTTCCCTCTGCGGGTGACCGAGCCCTGGGACAGGCTGCCCAGAGAGGTTGTGGAGTCTCCTTCTCTGGAGAGATTCCAAACCCGCCTGGACGCCATCCTGTGCGACCTGCTCTGGGTGATCCTGCTTTGGCAGGGGGTTGGACTAGATCATCTCCAGAGGTCTCTTCCAACCCCAAGCAGTTTGTGAATCTCATGGGCAGCTCAACCCTGGAAGCTGGTGGCAGAGCTCTAAACCTCCTCTCTTCCATCCAGCCTCCAACAGGAACACCTGCTGGGGGTAAAGCACAGAGGACAGAAAGCTTCTGGCAGTGAGTGTGGCAGCTGTGGACACGTTTGGTCACTACACAGGCTCTAAAATTCAGCCTTGTAGGCTCCTCCTTACCTGGCTAACTGGTTTTGGAAGAGTGAGCAGTGGCATCACGCTCCGTGAGTCAACTGGACGCCTCCAACTCTGCCATGGCCTGTCACCATGGCATCTACTTTCTTGGGGACACCTGCCACTTTCTCCAGAACTTTGCAAGAACATCCCAAAGCTTTAATCTCTCTTCCGCACTGCCATTCTTACAAAGCCAGCTTGGGTCTCTCCCCTGGGCTTCCTGCACCAGACCGTGATGACTTTGGAAATGACACAATGTCACAGTTCTCCCTCCAGAGACAAAACTGTCAGTCGAAATTAAAAAAAGACGTGGCAGCCCCAAGCAGAGAGGGGACTGTGACCAAAGCAGAGAAGATTACTGGACTCAGGAGACCTTCTCCCATATTCCTTCTGGTTTTGCAAGCTGGAGATAACTAAACATTCTTCAAAGGCCACTTAAGAAGCCAACTGTGTTTTCCTGTTTGAATTTAGCATGCTGCCTTCCCTTTCCAGCCACAGAAGTCTTTTAGTCCCTGAATAAAAAGGGCTTCCTGGGACTGTCTTGTCTGAATGTAACATGACAGAAGTTTAAATATCTCCTTATGCCAGGTCCACCAGCAAGTGGAGTTCTGTCCTGAAGTCCTCAGTACTAAGAAAACTTGTTGGGCCTTTCTGCAGAAAACAAGCTGAACCCTTCCCAGAGCAAATTCTATCAAAACAGGGCACAGCATTTGGGTTTCCAGTCTCAGCTTTGCTACCGAGCGCTCCATGAAGTTCCTGGTGATTCCCAAATAAGAGGCGGTGACGCACTGCTGAAGGAAAGCGTTCCCTTCCAAGCTGCGGGGAATCTGCAGCAGCAAAGCATCTTGCGACCTGCCATCTCCTACAGATCTACGGGACTGGCTAGGAAGGTGCCTTCTGTGGCACTAACTATAGGAGGCTAAATGGAAAATGAAACGCTCATCAAGAACCAGAGATGATGTTTTCTGATAGGCCAAGCGAGGGGCTGGTTCTGGGAGATCCTGGGTACCCGTAAGTCTAGAGTAGACAGTTGTCTCAGGAGCAGGTCTGTATTTTCAAAGCAAATTCATGTCACGCATCATACCTGCTTCCTAAATGCAAAGGTGTTGGTAAAATGAAACATACCTCTTTCACTAACAGATGGACCCCTTCAGGCTGATTACTCTGAATAATTTCCAAGAGTATCGGAGCAAACGTTGAACTCAAACCGCTGATCTGAAAGAAGAAATAAAGTGCTGCAGGAGCAGAACACCACATACAAAATGGCCTCATTATACTAATGGCACAGAAAGAGAGTCCATTTCAGTATAAGCCTGTGGCAGTCAACCACTTCATCAGAGGAGCACGCTCTGCTTCGTGCGCACACCTCTCACATACGGCACGGCCCAAAGCTCTCATTTCGGCTCTCCCCTATGAACGTCGTGCTTCCCACCCCTGCCTGCGTGGTCTCCTGCATGTAAAGAGACTTAACCATGCACGAAGATCTTCATTTAGATGAGACTCTTAACACAAAGGCTGTCATGGCAAACCTGCAAGCCCCAGCGTTAACCACACATCAGCTCTCTCCAGTGGAAAAAACCCTCTACCTCTAGGTTTAAAGTGTAATTCAGCAGAGGTTTAGCATATAGCAAGGGAACACGCTATAAACTAAGAACAAGTCGCTTAGCAGAAAGACCTGTTTACCTCAATCAGTTGTACATTTTTGAAGCTGGCCCTGATACTAAAGAGTATTTTTAAATTTCATCGAGTTTGTCCACTCATTCATCCTTAAACATGACTTTTCTATCCCTTGTATCAAGTATTCTGCATAAAATAGATAATACTTCTGGATGAAATATAGAATCCCAGAACTCCTCTTCTGCTTCTACTTTGCGAGCAACCTTTAGCAAGAAATCTAATTCAACTTCTTTGCTCTTCAATTTATGCATAAATTGATGCCTTTTATTTATTCAAGGGAATTAACTCTGATTGTTAAGGGGTTTTGAGAGCCTGAGATAGGAGGTGCCGCACAAGAGCCGCAAGACTATCAGCAAACGCCAGCTCGTACCTGGACAACTCTCTGATGGGTAGTAAGGACCGCATCCAACTGCATTTTGGAACCTCGCTCTTCCAAGAACAGCACTTCGTTGGTTTTGGTGGGCATCGCGTAGCTGCAGGAACCACAGGTCAGTGCTTAGGACAGGGAGGATAGATTTGCGCTACTTTACAGGAACGAATCAACCTCCAGCAGCAGAGAATGTGGAAGGAGATTAACTTTTCATGAGAAATTAATTATGCAAACAACGTATCTTGCAAATCGAGCACTGGCAGAAGCCGGGTGTTTTACTGGAAAGAGATAAGGGAGAAGCTTGCAGCACTACTGCCAGCAAAAACCTGTTTCAGCTACAAATATCAGCCTGAGAGGAGAACTTTTAACTTCTTTATAGTTGTAGGGAGGCTTTAAAGCAACAGTTCTGACTTATTTTGTAATAGTCTTATCTATTCTCATTGGGAAGACAGCTAAAAACCACTGCTGCAACAACTCAAAAGACATTATTTTCACCTCTGTGAATTGAACAGGAGTATGATCAGACCCTGGATCAGATCCTGCTCTCTGGTTAGCGTTACTCTGAGGACCTCAGCCTCCCCATCTCCATTTGCACAGCATCAATAACAACAAACTACATCCTACTGCCCACGGTTTACCCTACAAATTTGGCTTTTAAAGGGCAAATAATTTTCTTCCAACCTCAGAGGGCACAAGTATGATACGAGGTAGTAACACTTCGCACCAAAAGCGCTATCAACACTCTCAGGCCATGGAATTTCTCTGTGAATGCATTCCAGCACGTTGCTGCTGACACCAGTATAATTTCTGAGTGTCGGCGGGTATCCTTCTTGAAACAAGCACCTATCAGTCACCAATGCGTCAGTTTTTAGTGTTGTTTGGTGTGAAAGACATCACAAAGAGACTACAAGAGACTGATCTACGGGCACAGGATTTCAGATCCACAGCTGACAGTTCAGCAAAGTGGATGAACATAAAGAAAACTATTTTTGAGAGGTTTCACTGGCATGAGCAGGAATCAGTGTTTATACTCAGAGGTACAGTTAAAGATACACATTTCGGATAACCACCACTACGTGTTTTTACTCCCTTACAGCAACGCAGTGCTTCTCCCTGCTGTAGGGGGCAAGAAGCTGTATCACAGGCCTCAGACTCATTAAAACCAGCAAAGCTGCTACCAGGGGTACACCTGCATCAGAGATTTAGCGTGCAACTGCAGCATCCTCTACTACTAAACTAAAGTAGCAGGTAGCTCTCCTACAATCTTCAGGGCTTTCCCAAGCCCATTCTAGTTTGTATAATCAGTATCACTTGCTTACTGCAAAATATCTGTGCAGAGCCTGGATGAAACAGCAGAAAAAAGAAAAACCAGCAGCAAAAGTCAGCAATACTTAAGCTTGCATTCCCAGGCTCAGCACCCACAGGCTTAAGCCTTTTTCTCAAAGGAATGAAAAGTTACAGCTATTTTTTTTCCCTCGAGATCTGTTCAGTCAGTGCCTGAACAACTTCCATTTCAGCATTCCTTATATGAATAAAGCATTCAAAACCATACAGCCACACAAAAAGAGAACACCGGGCAGATGACAGAAGATTTGGATTTACACGTGGGAATTTACATGCCAGCACGTCGAGGGAGGTTCTCCTCCCCCTCTGCTCTGCTCTGCCCTGGTGAGGCCACAGCTGGAGTTCTGTGTCCAGGTCTGGGCTCCCCAGTTCCAGACAGACAGGGAACTACTGGGGAGAGTCCAGGGGAGGGCTGCGAGGATGAGGAGGGGCCTGGAGCATCTCTGGTGTGAGGAAAGGCTGAGAGAGCTGGGGCTGGTTAGCCTGGGGAAGAGAAGCCTGAGAGGGGATCTGATCAACACTTCTCAATATCTAAAGGGTGGGTGTCAAGAGGAAGGGGCCAGACTCTTCTCAGTGGTGCCCAGCGACAGGACAAGGGGCAATGGACACAAACTGGACCACAGGAAGTTCCACCTGAGCATGAGGAAAAACTTCTTCCCTCTGCGGGTGACCGAGCCCTGGGACAGGCTGCCCAGAGAGGTTGTGGAGTCTCCTTCTCTGGAGAGATTCCAAACCCACCTGGACACCATCCTGTGCGACCTGCTCTGGGTGATCCTGCTTTGGCAGGGGGTTGGACTAGATCATCTCCAGAGGTCCCTGCCAACCCCAACCAGTCTGTGAATCTCTCAAGAGAGATTTGTGCTCTTGCCCACAAGGTATCATCACCTCTAAGACTCGCATGGCCTAACGCAACGCGATTGCAAGGAATGACAAACACAGAGCCGTGCTCCTCCTACCTTTCATTCACTTTGATGGAGAGACGGTTGCAGAGTTTATGCACATACTGAGCAAAATGCTCCACGAGACACACATCATAGGAAGTCATCTGGATGTTGATATCTCCGTACTCATACTCGGTCCCAACATTTATCTCTTTCATCTGCACTTTATCCTTTCTCTTCTTTGGAGGCTGTATTTAAAAAAAAATAAAGTAAAACCAGAAAGCATACCTGTTTTGAACAAAGCTGGAAACAGAAAACATTAACTCTTGCCCACACAGGAGACCACGCTAGGATACCCTCCCCTGACAAAGGCTTGCTGAACTATGTCAAACATATCACAGCCCATCTGTGCTCACTTTCCCCGACTACAAAACCGGGATGACATTATCTTAACAGATGTTCTCAAGTTGAGCAGTTCAATTCTTGGATGGCAGCACCACAGAAATCACACAGAAAATACGTGCATACCATGATTAATTTCTTCCAGAAGAAATCAAGGAGCAGGAAACAAACTGCTTTTTTATTTCAGTTCCTGCCTTCGAGGCAGCTGTCTAGATGAGTTATTGTTTCTTCCTTCCACAAAAATTGTCATCTTTTCAAATATCAGGGAATGTAAAAAGTTTAATGCAAATGAGACCTGATCACAATATTCTGCAATAATTTGAAGCTGGGGTGTTAAATTCAGCATCAGGAAGAGATTCCTCCCTCCCAAAACTACTCATTAATTTAAACAAGGTACTGGACAAAATAAAGTATTTATGTAGCGTTGAGAGTGGGTACTTCATGTCACCTAACACCCTCTACCAAGAAAAGCAGCAGTAAACCATCACATTATTCCATGGAATTAATAACACCATCATTTAAATTGGACTATAAAAAGATGGGTCAGCTGAAAGCAAGCACAGTAGGGGAGTTCTTATGCCTACCTCCTTTGGGAGCAGGTATTTAAACCTCCCAATACCATGCGTAGGACGGGATCTGTAGTGTCTGTGGCAACTCACGAATACATCACCTTAAAATCAAAGCAGAGGAAACATGTTTCCAGCTGAACAGCAGACAGCCCTTCTTTTAACAAACATACACGGGTGCTTTGAGAGCCCAAAATCCAGACTGGGGGCAAGAATTTTGCCTCCTGTCAAAGAACCGAGGACAAGGTGGGCTAAAGCTTTGGCCAATCTCTGCCTCACACAGGCAGCCGGTGCATCACAGCAAGCCTGTTACAATTCACAGTTGGTTACGGTGAGCAACAAATAAGGAAGGGAGAGATTAAAGGTGACTCATTTCCCAGGTGAATTCTCAGGCAAACAAACAAAACAACAAAAAAAAAAAGACAGATTTGTCAGCACCAGTGGAGGGTGAGGATACTGATGAAATGTTACATCTGTCTCCTCTTATGTGACAGCAGTGATGCTACTACGATGGATCTGAGCCCCACTTAATTTTAAATCCAGCCCTCTTCAAATATTCATGTGCCAGGAAGCCAAATCAAAATGCCATCGACTTTTATTTATACTTCCTTCTCTAGGGTAAAATGAAACCCTCAATAACCCTCATTTTAATCAACGAAGCTCAGAACAGCAAAGAGAATTTGAACACCGAGGATATAAGCCACTCTGTTACACTTTGCCTCCACATCAAAATCAAATTCTATTTTAAATTGTGACAGCGGACTCCACCAGCTCGATAAATGTTACAGCGGGACCTCACAGGGGTGCAAGTCAGCTCCCAGACATTAATATAGCAAATGGCATCTGGCTGGTGTCACTCTGCAGCGTAACACCATGACTAGGAGTACCTGCTCAGCCAAGAACAGGGAAA